GGCATTAAAGTGTTCTGTAACTGGCAGGTCCAGGGCACAGATGTGCATTTGGGAGTAGGAGAGCTCTGAGTTCCGTTTCTATCTCCCCTAATAACTTCCTCAGTGATGTGGTCCAGCTTCTAGACTTTGCCCTGGTAAAATGAGAGCACTAGTCCTTGACTTAACCAACCACTCCAAGGTGTCGTGATCCTTAAGGGGATAAGGTTAAGACGGTGCTTTCTTTGTGTACTGTAGATATGCAGGAAAAGGATGAGGACTGTGATTTTCTTGAGATGTGGTGTTGAGGACAGTTTATTTTTTGTGATAAAATGACTTTTTAGACTCCCATTGACTCATTTATCTAAAAAATTTAAATGTTGGTAAATTTGGCTTTGCATCTCAGCAGTTTTATTATTGAAAGTAAAATCCTAAAAAATCTTTAGCTTATTCAGATAATTCAACTCAGAAGCATAAACAAAGTATCAGTTTTGTACTCAGCCTTATTTGATAAGAGGAATAAAATGAAAATATAAACATACATATGGCACTTACCTGTTTATTACTGTTCTAAATACTTCAAATATATTCATTTATTTAATGTTCACAATAACCCTGTTGAAGGCATATTATTATTTCTGTTTTATAGGTAGGGAGTGGGGGAAACAGAGCCTCAGAGAGGTGAAGTCTCGTGCCCAGGATCTCACAGATCGTAAGCAGCAGAACCAGGGTTTGAACCTAAGCAGTGCAGCTTCAGAATCTAATGTCTTCACAATTAGAACAGGACTTAGAAAGCTTAGTCCCTGCCTTCAAATAGCTTGCCGAACACTTTACAAACCAGTTGAGAGGCAAGAGTTGCACAGGTAATAAATAAATTAGAAAGTGATACCAAGCACTGTTGTATTGAACTATATGTCAGATGATGCTGTCTGAACTACAAGTTCAGAGTAGAACAAGGTTATAGATGTGATATGGGAGAGGTGGTACCTGCCCCGTGCCTTTGGGCAGTAGGATTTGAATAGGTAGGTGAAATGATAGGACCATCTCAGCCTAATGGGTCATTACTTGAGAAAGCATTGGCTAAAAATAATTACTAAACAAAGAAATGTATCATACAAAGAGAATGATTCTAGGAATAAACAGATCACTATATCCTAGACCACTTGCTAATCTATGGGCTTCAGTGTGCTTCCTCTGTAAGATGCAGATAGTAATTCCAGTGTTTCCTTTCTTACAAAGTAAAACTCATTTTGAAAATCAAAAGGTACCATATACATGTACAATGGGATAATATTTTTAAAATAGTTTATGTTTTTTGTCTTCCTGACTACAGGGGCTTTGCCCTAGTTGGCTGGAGCAGTCTGTTGTCTAGAGAAAAGGAGGACGAGATTAGGAGCACAAGAGGAGGGACACAGACCAAAAGGAACATCCATCAAAGCAGGCCGTGGTCTTGAGAGGGGGCCCGCCTGAAGCCCTTTAGCTGCCTGTTTGGCATATATCAAGAGCAGACTTTAAGGGATGTCTGCCCCTGAAGCCGGGTGGAAGAGCTTTCCCTTTTCTGGCTTCACATTTAGTGGGAAACAGAAGAAAGAGAGCAGGGAGTGAGAGAGCCGAGCACAGAGACAGGGCTCTTAAGTTTCTCACTCCTGGCTGGCTTTGGCCTGGGAAGCAGGAGGCTCTCAGGGAAACCGTGGTGACACTGACTGTAGATTTGCTTCTTCACCAGCCAGGGCACAAGACAGACCTGCCAGACCTGCATGGTGTAGGATGGTCCCAAGAATGCCTGAGAGTGTGTTTGGGGATCTTGCCAGTGTGGGCTACGGTGGTTGGGACAAGCTGGCCCTGCAGTGAAGACTGCAGGTAGACTCGCAGGGTGGGGAGAGTGGGGATCCGTCCAAACCTTAGAGAAGGTGCTAGCAGTAGGGCAGGCGAAGCCCAGGTAGCCAGGGGCCCCCAGTCTGTTTCTGGTTGAGGAAAAAGAGCAAACTAGAAGCAGTGTCCTGCTGGCGTCTCCTTCTGTCACGTGACCAGAGGGGCAGGCAGACACCAGGTGGGCAAGGGGTGTGAGCTCTGGACCACAGCGGGCAGGAGAGCATCTTTCTCCCTACATCTCACTGCAAACTATGGTAAACCACATATCCTTCTCTCTCCTCGTTTTCCTCATACCCAGAATTCCTCTTGCTGGAGAAGCAGGGAGAGCTTCTTTGAAAAATTAAAGCAGTTTTTTATCCTGGGGAGACTCATACTACCTAAAGTGACTATTTAGAGAATAAAAGCAGACAGAATTTAAACTAGATTGATCGTTTTGTTTATTTTTCTGCTGTCAGATTTCATTTGTTCTAGACAAAAGTTCAGTTATGAACAAAATAAATTCATTTTCTGTCTTCATCCAAATTGAAGAGTGAACAAAAATGTGTGATCCTATTACATATAATGGTGTTGTTAAACAATTCTGACTGAAAGTAACACATCTAAATATTGAATTTTTAAATATTTAAGCAACATTAACCTTTAGCTGAAACAAGATAATATGTGTAAAAGTTTCTGGCACATATTAAGTGTTAGGTGAATATTAATTGCTTTAATGTTCTTTGGGGACAAGGTAAGGAAACATAACAACGATGTTCTTTGTATCACATCTCTTGCTTCTGCATTTAGAGACTGAATGTGGGGCAAGATGGACCCAGAAATGCATCACTGCTTTTCCTTTGAGTGATGATAGGAGGAACTGTGTTCCAGAGCAGAGATTCCCAAACCCAGTCCTGCATGAGAATCATCTAGGCAGCTTATTTAAAAACATAGATTATTTCTCCTCTGTTTCCCCTTGTGCTTATGATTCAGTATTTCTGGAGAGGTACCAAGGCATCCTTTGAACACCACTAGAAGTCTGTTCAGACAGCATTGTGAATACCAGGGGGCACTGGGTACCTCCTCAGTTATTTCTTTACCTCTTTGATTGTTGTTGACTCTCACACACTCACGTATGGGTAGAGAAAGTCTTATTTGATCGTTTTACAGTTCTGTCTTTGTCTAACCAGCTCAGCCTCTGTCAATTCCCTAAATTCCAAAACAAAACAAACGTAAGGGATGATGAGGTTTTTGCTGGGCCTGATCAGAGAAAATGCCTTCTCTTCTCTGCTTCAGCAGAACTCAGAGTCTCCATGCTAAGAGCAGAGATTAAGAGTGAAGGGAAATCTTCACTCTGGACAGAACCATTTCCTTGTTTCTTCTCCTTTTATCCTTGTTTTGATGTCCCAGAAATACATTGTTCCTATCAACTCTCAAATAGGACTTTCACTGCAGTATAAACTGCATAGCAGACAAGGTATGTGCTAGAATTCTTATCAGAAAATCTTCTCTCTTTGGGGTCTGAGCACTTTCTCCCACCTCTGCCTCCACTCTTAGGGTGCTGTTGCCTTACTGTGGCCTCCCCAGCACTTTCTGAGTCATTATTTTCTGTTGGTCACCTGACCAAAACTAATGCCCTGGCTGAAGCTGGCATGAGGCCACTGTGCTGAACATAATCGTTCCAGGAAAAAAACATGGCTGATTAGCATAGAAATCTCCATAAGCCTTTCTATTCTAATTTTGCTGTTAGGATTCTGGCCCCTCTCAGAGGTCATGCTAACCTACTTAAGGCTCTTGGAGAAAATACTGTCATTCCAGCTCATTGCATTTGCTTTAAAATATATTGTCCTTCAGCTGACTTGCTAACCAGCAACTTATCATCTGCAACTTTGTGCAAAACCTGAACTGCAGGGCATCATCCGTAATTTAAGCTGGAATCTGGGAAGCTTGGTGAAAATATATGATAAGCACCAAGACATTAAGGTCCTTAAAGTTCTAGCAGTGCACTCTTCACTCTGGATAAAGTGGAAGGATTTTGATGGAACGTGAAGGATGCTAACTGCTGAAGTCCCTCCAGTGCTGCTTCCCATGGAGACAGTATTGTATTGTGAGAGCATGAATGTCATAGTCAGACTTCCTAGTTGAAATTCTTGTTCTACTATGAACAAAGTCTGGGGATCTGGGCAGGTCACTTAGCTTTTTTGTGTGTCACAGGGTATATTTCTATAAAACAGGAGTGATAATAAAATAGTGCACATCTCACTGGGTTACCATGAGGCTTAAATGAGATCATTGCTACAGAATAATATATGACATATGCTCAATCAATGTTAGCTATTATTGTTATTTAGCTATTATGTATGCTCAATGGATATTAGCTATTTTTATTAATAACAGTAACACAACTACAGAAAAATTAATCCTTCATGTGTCTCATTGATATGATTCTTAAACAACTATTTGAGAAAAGATGTCTAGGTGCTGAGACTACAACAATAAATGAGAAGGGATGATTTCTACCTCTGCAAAGATTACATTCAGGAGAGACAGTCTGGAAGTTAATAAGTTATGAATCACTGCAGGTTCAAGAAGAGGGTAGGAGATCACTTTTCAAGGATGGTATAAATTTGTTTTTATTGGTTGGGAGGTTGTAAATTGCTTAGAATAATACCTGATGCCATGTAATAAGCCTGTAATAGTTTTATTTATATTACTGTTGTATTAATATAATTTCCACCTGTACTTTAATTATTTTTTTAATGTTTTAGATCTATTTTTTAAATTTTGTGTATATATATTTATTGAAGTATGATCAGTTTACAATGTTGTGTCAATTTCTGGTGTACAGTATAATGTTTCAGTCATACATCCACATACATATGTTTGTTTCCATATTCTTTTTCACAAGTTACTACAAGATATTGAATATAGTTCCCTGTGCTGTACAGTGTGAACTTGTTGTTTATCTATTTTGTATATATTAGTATCCACAAATCTCGAACTCCCAGTTTATCCCTTCCCACCCCTGGTAACCATAAGTTTGTTTTCTATGTCTGTTTCTGTTTTGTAAATAAGTTTGTCTTTTTTTTTTTTAAAGATTCCACATATAGGCAATATCATATGGTATTTTTCTTTCTCTTTCTGGCTTACTTCGCTTAGATCAATGATCTCTAGAAAAAAATGTGGAATGCTTCACGAATTTGCGTGTCATCCTTGCACAGAGGCCATGTTCACCTTCTCTGTATTGTTCCGATTTTAGTACATATGCTGCTGAAGTGAGAACTATGCTTGTATTATCTTCAAACTTTATGACAAGTTACTGATGAGGAAATCAAAGCTTAGAAAGGATTAAGTAACCTCCCCACTGTCACATAACTTTTATGTGATAGAACCACAATTTAAACCAACTTCATTGGCTCTTTGGGAATTCTTGTTTGCTTGATTTGACATGTCATAGCCTGTGTCTCTCAAAGCAATTGCAGAGCTATAAAAAGTCTATTTTTTCATTGTTTGACTTGTATATTCCAAATCATTCTCTTCTTTTAGGGGAGCACTGGACCTGTCAAATGTTTAGTGATGGGTAGTGTGCTTTTGAAGTTCCTCGGTTATAACATGTTGCAATGGACTGAATGTTTGTGTCCTCCTCAAGTTCATACATTGCACTCCTAACCTTCAATGTGATGGTGTTTGAATGTGTAGGGCTGTTGGGAAGTGATTAGGTTATGAGGGTGAAGCCCTATTGAATGGGATTCGTGTCCTTACAGGAAAAAAAACCCAGAACACTCCCTTGCCCTTTCTGCTATGTGAGGTTACAGCAAGAAGACAGCCATCTAGGAACCAGGATGTGGACTCTCATCACACATTGAAGTTACTGGTGCCTTGATCTTGGCCTGTGGGAATTAAACGTTTGTTGCTTAAGCAACCCAGTCTATGGATTTTTGTTATAGCAGCTTGAACAGACAGACACATATCTTTGTAGGGAAGGAGGCCACAACATTTGGTTCCTAGGAATTCCCTATGGTTTGAGCTCTCACTCATTAGTTCATGACCTTGAAAGTGTATCTACCTCACTACCACATTTTAGGCAAGACTGTATCTCATCCTTTCTCAAGAAAGTAATTAATTTAAAGATATTCTTGCAGATAAAGAGAATCTGTACTCTCCCTTTATGACCTTTAAATAAAGTTAGATGAAAAAAATCAGAGTTGAAAGAAACTGTTAAGGTCTTTTAAACCAATTTCTCCAGTTTTTATTTGCAGTAGAGACCCAGGGAAGGGATGGGAACTGCCAAAGTTTACTTGATTAACTACTGTACAGCATGGTAGCTCAGAGTGTGGGCTCTGGAGCCAGGTGGCCTGGGTTTGAGCTCCAATTCTGCTACCTCCTCGCTGTGTAAACCTCTTTGTAAAATGGTGGTAATACTTCATAAGGTTGTTGTGAGAAATAATTGAGTTACTATACGCAAAACACTTGGAACAGAGGCTGGCTCATAGGAGACTATATATAAGTGTTTACTATTTTTGTTGTTATTGGCAGCACTAGAATTTGAGTCCAGATGGCTTAACTCCCTGCCTAGTGCATTTTTCATTTTCTTGACTTCTCTTCCATCATGATCTTCTTTGTATCTAGCTGAGGTTCACCTTGCTTTAGTTTGACCCACTGTTCTATTCTCAGTCTGCATGTATGTGTAGTCCTTATGGATAAAACCTTCACATATTAGGATCATGGGACTCTGGGGTCATATAGACCTGGGATTGAATTCCATCTTTACCCCATAACCGCATTAGTTAGCCTCCTTGTGCCTCTCATTTTTCCTTTGTAGACTGGAGTTAAAGAAGGATACCTACCAAAGCACCTGTGTTATGTAGGAAGGTGTGGAGAAAAGGGAACCCTCGTGCACTGTTGGTGGGAATGTAAATTGGTGCAGACATAATTTATAACAAATTTGGGAAAAAGTATGGAGGTTCCTGAAACAATTAAAAATAGAAGTACTGTATGATCTATCCATTCCTCTTCTGGGTGTATCCCCAAAGGAAATAAGATCATGTCAAAGAGATACCTGTGCTCCCATGTTAGTCACAGCATTGTTCACGATAGTCAAGATGTGGAAGCAACCTCAATATTCATCCACAGATGAATAGATTTTTAAAAATTTGGTATATACATACAATGGGATTCTTTTTTTAGCCTTGAAAAATGGAAATCTTGCCACTTGCGACAATATGGATGAGCCTTGAGGACGTCATGCTACGTCTCATAAGCCAGTCACAGAGGACAAATACTACATACCACTTACATGATGCATCTGAAATAGTCAAACTCATAGAAGCTGGAAGTGGAATGGTGGTTGCCAGGGCTGGAAATGGAGGGGTATTAGTCACAGGGCACAAAGTTTCAGTTAGATGAGTAAGTTCTAGGTTTCTACTGTTCAGCCTAGTGCCTGCTTTAGTCTATTCAGGCTGCTGTAACACAATGCCACAGACTAGGTAGCTTATAAGCAACAGAAATTTAGTGCTCACAGTTCTGGGAGCTAAAGGTCTGAGACCAGGGTGCCAGCCGGTCAAGTGAGGGCCTTTTCCCAGGTGGCAGACTTGTGTCCTCACATTGTGGAATGGACTAGAGATCTCTGCGGTATCTATTTTATAAGATCAGTAATCCCGTTCATGAGGGCTTTACTTTTATGACCTAATTACCTCCCAAAGTTCCCACCTACTAAAAACATCACTTTTTGGGGTTAGGATGTCAACATATGAATTGAGGGGAATATAAACATTCAAGCTATAGCTGTTTCTATAGTAAACAATACTGTATTGTACTTGAAATTTTGCTAAGAGGGTAGCTCTTATGTTAAGTGTTTTATCACAAAAAATAATAATTCATGATTAAGAGGGCAGAAGGAAGCTTTTAGAGACAATGAATATGTTTATGGCAGATTGTGGTAATGGTTTCACATGGTGTATACTTATCTCCAAATACATCAAGTTGTACTTATTAAATATGTACAGCTTTTTTATGTCAATCATATCTCAATAAAGTGGCTAAAAGAAAACTCTTATTAGGGTTGCTGACAGAATTAAATGAACTTCTGTGCATAAGAGCACTTAGCAGAATGCCTAACACTTGTTAAGTACTTGATATGTGCCAGTACATTATTATTACTGTTGTTGCAGCTTCTTGTGGAAACTTCCAAGACATAAGAGTATTTTCCTCAAGCAAATTATCTAAATAGGCTTAATCATCAGTGAAAAGAGAGAATGGTCATCTCACAAATAGAACTCCTAAGAGTACAGAGCCAATATGATACTCAGGTGAGTTAGACCTATAATCCCTAAGCATCAGTTCTTGGACCAGATGATTTGGAATTTTGGGGGGAGCTCATTAAAATATGCATTGCTGGGGCCCATCCCATATCTGTTGAATCAGAATATCCTAAGGAAGCAGGTCCCAGGAATTTGTATGTTTTAAGCTTCCTAGGTATACTTTATGGATTGCCAGGTTTGGGAACCACATGATTAGGCAGCTACCTGCATGGAGGGACTTAAAGAGAGCCAAAAGATTGTCTTATAGTATGATTTATGTCTCTCATGACCTTCCATTTGTACTTCCATTTGTCCATCTGTTCACCCCTTCATCAGCCAAACATGTGTTAGTGCCCAGGGTTTGCCTTATGACCCGCTGTCACTGTGGTTGATGCAAAGATGAATGATCAGTGCTCTTAAGGAGTCAACAGTCTGAGGGATTAGATAAATTAACGATAAATAATATATGATGAGCTATAAAATGCTATGGGGGTTCATAAAAATGAACACATTCCAGGTTGTGGCAGAAGAATCAGAAGAGCTTTCATTGTATCCAAGGGACTCATCTCCCCTTGGGATCATTCCTGGCTTCAAGCTTCTCCTCCTCCTGACTATTTGCAATCTTATGGTCTCCATAGCTTTCTAACCCACTCTTCACATATTAGCTTAGAGTTATGTGATTGCTTACATGATATGCTCATGAGCTGAGAGCTCAAAAGTGAGGGCTGCATCTTCATCACCACCTTTTCCCCCAACCTCCTAGCTAGGTGCCTGGCTCTGGCTGGGTGCCTGGCTCTGGCTGAGTACCTGCAGTAAGCGCTGAGTAAACATTGAAAAAGTTGGGTTGTTGTGGTTATGTAAGGAGGGGAAGCCGTGGGAGCAAGCCTTGAGGAGCAGACCTGGGACCAGACCATGGAGCACCTGAAATTTGGATCAAGTTTGGGCTTTAGTTTTTAGCCAGAGAACCCAAGACTATTTTGGAAGCTGTATCCATTGTCTACAGAAAAGGCAGGGCAAGAACTAAGACAGTGTATCTCAAAGTATGGCAAAGTACAGAGATAATTATAGGTATAAACTGTGATGAATTATGTTGAATTATGATGTGAGACTATTCCCTTTTCAGCTCCATTTCAGATCACCTAATTACATCAAGGAGGCATTCTCTATTGGGTACTAGTATTTTATCACCTAACAGTTTCTAATCTACTATTTAACAAAGAGAAAATATACTTCAGGCTCAGAGCGTTGTCAGGTGTATTAGTTATCTATTGCCATAATAATGTATTCAGCAAGCATTAAACTTCTGTGTCTTTCAACAGTAAACCTTTATTTAGCTTAAGGCCAGTGGTTCCTTCGGTACTTCTCTGGATTTGCTCTCAAGTTTTGCAGTTAGAGTCTCAGCTGACTCTTTGTTGGGGTAACTGCACTGTATTTCATGCATCTCTCATGTCCTTCTCACTGCAGAAAAGTAATCTCAGTCATACAAGAGCTTTTCATGCCTCTGTATGTGTCGAATTTGCTAACACACCTCAGCCAGACAGAGAAAGTTCTATGGCTGAATATAGAATCAAAGAATGAAGAAATGAACTCTGCCTACTTAGTAGAACTTAAAGTTATGTGGCCAAGGGGTGAAAGAATCATTAATGGTATCAGTGTATCTACCATAGCAGCCAAGATTGTCTAGCTAGAATTTTGTAGCATGTTTTTCATTGTTTTTTTTTCTTTTTTCGCTTTATTGAGGTATAATTGATAAAAATCTAAAATATTTAAAGGATGCATCATGGTGACTTGATATATGTATACATTATGAAAAATTCTCTATCTAGTTAATGATCACATCCATCACTTCATATATTTGTGTTTTTTTTTCTTTTTCTGGTGAGAACTTTAAGTTCTGTTCTGTTAGTGATTTTTAATTATACAATGCAGCATTATCAACCATATTCACCATGGTATAAGTAGATCCTCAGAATTTGGTCATCTT